CTTAGATTTATTATTTATTTGAGAGGCAGAGTTGCAGAGAGAGAGAGAGAGAGAGAGAGAGAGAGAGAGAATCTTGCATTCACTGATGCACTCCACAATGGCTGCAACGGCCAGGGCTGTGCCAGAAGGAAGCCAGGAGCCAGGAGCTTCATCTGGGTCTCCCAAGGGGATTCAGGGGCCCAAGCACTTGGGCCATCTTCTGCTGCTTTCTCAGGCACATTAGCAGAGAGCTGCATCAGAAGTGCAGCAGCTAGGACTCGAATCAACACCTATATGGGATACCAGAGACGCAAGCAGCAGGTTCATCCACTGTGCACAATGCCAACCCCTCACTTCGTGTTCTTAATCAAAAAGCTTGCTTAATGACATTATTACCTGGTTTATACTTCTTAAATAGCCATCTGGCCTTGAGTAAATTATTATTAGTATCTGTCTTTGAGTTTCTTCATCTATAAAATAGGGTAAATAAAAGTGCGGATGTTACAGAGGCTAATAGCAAGGATGCAATGAATTGGTACATGCAAAGTTCTCAAGAGAATGTCTAGTATATAGCAAATACTCTGTAAGTGTTAGCCAGCACATGCCTAACACTAATCTCTGTTGTTATCAAACATTAATTGTTCTTCTACTAAGCTCTAGACCTACATAGCCAATTGATTAATTCACATTTTGTACCATTGAGCACAGCGTGTCAAATTCATTATACCTATACTGAAATATTTACAGATGAGATGATAATGGTATCTGGGACTGGCTTTAAAGTAATCCACTCAGGGAGCACAGGATGTGGGTGGAGCTGAAATAGCAGTCGCAGCCTGACGACTGTTAAAAGAGATGAAGGTGTATTGGTTTTGTTACATTATTCTTTCAGTTGGATATGTTTGAAGATACTCATATTAAAAAAAATCTGAAATGTAGTGTGTCCGTTACTAAAGTTGTGGTATCTCCCAGCATTTCTCCTAAGGCTCCTTCTTCCCAAATGTTCCCTGACTTGGTAGATGGCCTACTTTATTCTAAAAGCAGAAAATCTCCATGGAAGACTTTTGAGATGAGAAGAATACACAAATTATTTTTTAAGTCTTTAGCGTTCTATGGTCATTGAAATTATGACTGAAGCATTTGGGAAAGATGAAGATGATGATGATGACGTGCATGATGTCTTAGAGTTGAGAAAAGTGGAAAGAACTATCCCGTTACGTCAAATCATTTACCACAAGGGCTGAACCTGGGGTAAGAGAATATTTCAGTACGCAGACTCCCAGAAATAGCCCTATCCATGGGTTTTATGAATCTTCTGGGAGCCTGTTTGCCTTCTGGTCAAGGGAGCATCATCTTCACATTCCTATAGCCAAACCTGTGGCCCATTTGCAAATTGATTAACTCACTGAGCAAACATTTAGTGAACAGCATATCATGCCCCAAGGCTGCAGGCACCAGCGAGGGTAAAGGCCCTGCGCACCTGCCTGGTCTGCAGATAGAAGTATGTGGGCACGGAGTCGGCTTCACTGCCGCTAAGCTCCAAGACACCTCCAACAGACCAAGGCGCTTCTGCAAATTCTGACCTGCATCAGGTCTCCTCCTGATTCAGGGTGATCAGATGTCCCGTGTGAGCATGACCATGCACTCTGTGGTTCCAAGGGAATTGTCAAGAGAAACACCAAGCAGTATGAAAAGTGTTCCAGTTTGAGAAAAACAGAACTCCATATTCTCTTTATATAAAGAGGGGCATTTTTTTTAAGATTTACTTATTTATTTGAAAGTCAGAGTTACACAGAGAGAGAGGAGAGGCAGAGAGAGAGAGGTCTTCCAACCGATGGTTCACTCCCCAACTGGCCACAACGGCCAGAGCTGTGCTGATCCTAAGCCAGGAGTCAGGAGCTTCCTCCTAGTCTCCCACGTGGGTGCAGGGGCTCAAGGACTTGGGCCATCTTCCACTTCTTTCCCAGGCCATAGCAGAGAGCTGGATCAGGAGAGGAGCAGCCAGGATTAGAACCAGCGCCCATATGGGATGCCGGCACTTCAGGCCAGGGCTTTAACCTGCTGCGCCACAGCGCCGGCCCCTAGAAGGGAATTGTTAAGCCACCAATTGCAAGGCCTGCAGCCCATATCAGGGTGCTGGTTCAGATCCCAGCTTCCTATTAAGGCGTACTGGGAGGCAGCAGATGATAGCTCACCTGCTTGAGCCCCTGCTACCTACATGGGTACCAGGATGTTAGAAACTCTTGCCTTCTGCCTAGCCCAGCCTCGGCTGTTGTGGGCATTTGGTGTGTGTGGCGGGGTAAAGACAGCAGATTGGAACACCTCTCTCTCTCTCTCTCTCTCTCTCTCTCTCTCTCCCATACACACACACACACACACCTTTCAAGTAGAAGAAAACTAAAATAATGATAATAAATTATCTCCTTTTTCCTTCCCTAGATTTCTTCCCTTTCATCATAAGGCAATGGGGCTTTCAACGCTACTCTGTGAGGCTATGAAGCAAAGCTTCCATGGAAATGGTTGTGCCTGTTCCACTCAGAACCCTGCATTAAGAGTGCTGGGGCATCTGCTTCTGCTGACCTCAGGATGCCTCTGGGGAAGCAGCCAGCTCTCTGGAATGCCAGTGATCAGGCTCCAGGATGGCCCAGCGTGCTGTGTGATCTTAGGGCAGTCAGCTTCCTCCCTGAACCCTGGTCTTTTCACCTGCAAAGATTGCCCTTTCCCAGTGTTAGCAAGAGTCTTTCTGGGAAACCGCAGCTGAGTATGACAGCCCGAGCTGTGTTTTGGGGAGGCACAGGCATGGTCAGAGGCAATGGTTCACACTGCAAAAAACAGCCAAGTCACAGAAGACAAATGAAGCACGCATTGGAGGCGTCCTCAGTTCCCGTCAGAGGTCACCACTGCCCGCCCAAGGTCCACCGGCCCTTGGAGCGGCAGGATGAAAGCCCTGTTGGCTGTTAGTATGAAGAGAGAAATCTGTCCCTCGTGGGCCTGCAGAACTCGGCTCTTCCCAGAGACACAGCAGGATGTGTGAGAGGCTGCCCCGCCGGCTCACCCCTCATGCTTGCACGCCTTGGATGTCATTGAAGCATTTCCCCATGCATCTGCAAAATACGCATTTCCTATGGACTGCTGACTTAGGACCCTGCTAGTGCTCCTGCCCTGGAGTAGCTGCTTCACTTCTCGGGAGGGTTACTGTGGCAGGAAGCATGGGGGCAACGGATGTGGGAAACAGCAACTAAGCCTCCTGTCAGTCTGCCTTGCTGGGATGTTCTCCAAACCATGAGACTCAGTGGCTTCTCCCATCGCAGCTTCCCCTTCCACACATCCGTCCCACGTCCTCTAAGCTCTGATCTCCATGGTTTTTTGTGCCACCTCAACACCTTCCTGGAATCTCACTCTCCCCACGGAGCTGTCTGAGAAACTCCCTCACTCTTTTCACGGAACACACAAGGAAGCTCGCAAGGCAAGGGGAACAAAGAATTTGCTCAAGATAAAGCGGTGGCCAAGTTCAAGCCAAGCACGTTGTCGACGCGGACGAACTGTGAAAATTCCCTTGAGGAGCATACCTTGAGAAACCGATTGCTAGATCAAGTAAGATTTATAAGCTAATCCCCAAAGAGATTAGGCTGTACCATTAAAAAAAAAAAAAAAAAAAAAGATGATGTAAAAGACGGAAAAGAGTGCCAGGAAGGGTGGACGCTCGGCCCTGGCCTGGGCCCTGCACACCCAGAGGCTGTGGTTTGACTTCCTTCTGATGTGGCACTGCTGGCACTGCAGTGATCACCAGTGGTCACCCTGGGCTAATATTTGCAGAATGCCAGGCATTCTTTCGCCTACTGCCGGGGATGGGCGGTAGGGATTCTTACAGGCTGACCAAGCTCGCAAGGGCTTCTCTCTGCCAGGAAGGCCCCTTCACAATAATGTTCTACCCAATCTTTTGGCATAGTGGAGAGAATGGGGCTGCTGGGCAGCAGGTGACCTGAAATTAGCACCTGGTGCATCTAGCTCCATGGGCGAGTGGCCAGTCCCGGGCTACCACAAAGGCACCGGGCTGTTCATTGCCCTTTGAAAGAAAAAATTTCTTAAACTGAGCAAATAAAAAGCCACAGAGAGCTACTACTTGCACGAAGCAGGCAGGCCACCTTCTAACAACAACCCTGGTGCGGAGTGGTGTATAATGTGGGTCGGGGGGGGGGGCAGGAGTCAGCTTGCATTTGCTTCCTGCATGCACTCACCACGCCATCCGCTTCAGCCATCTGATCTGGCCTAATAGAGCGAGCAGAGTTAATGGATGAAGTCCCTGGGGAGATTCAGGCAAAGGGGAAAGAGAGGGCTGCTATGCAAGGGACGACAGAGGTGTTAGAGCTGGCTTCTTGTTTTCCATTGGTTTCACTTTAATGCAATCTACAAGCAACTTTTAAGATCTACATCAACTCCTTTTTTTTTGATTAGCCTAAACTATTTTCCTTCTGCCACATTTATAAGCAGCCCTTTTTACATTTCTTACCACTTGGTCCCACTCCTTAACAAATTTCAGAAACAATTCAAAAATCAGTTTGATAGGGACAAAAATATTTATTTTCTAAAGTCATTACCTTGATAGGCAAAACAAAGCATTTTCTTAATTTCATTCAGAAATACATTTTTTAAAAAAATACATGGACCAATATGGCCTGCCCAAACATATATTTAACATGGTAAATATAAGGAATGAATTGCTCGAATATAAATATCTATAAAAAAATAAGTACATCAAAATTCAATCCAACCTCTTCCATTACCCGGTTACATAAAGGACAACAATTTTCCTGCTTTAAAGAATAACCAGCAGTGACTTTCCAATATCTTTCATAAACAACCCTACAACCATTTTTTTTTTTCCAGAAATCAAGGTCAGGGAATCTCCTGAATCAAGGATCTTTTTTTCCTGATGTATGGGAGCTAGCAGATTACCATGAGAACGTGAAATCCACCATTGACTGACATGTGGGACCAGACTTCCTTGAGTTCAGTATGGGGGCTCAGGAGGGAGAGAGTTTGGGGAGGCAGTCATGAGTGCAATAGAGGTGAGGTAGACTCATTCATGAAACACATCCTGATTTGCAGTAGTAACAGTTTCAGTTTTGCATTTTATGAATCAAAAAAAAAAATACAGAGTCTTTCTTTTTAACTTGAGTGCTTGTCCTTTGAGTGTGTTTTCAATTTGTGCATTCCTTAGCAAAATCGTTGCGTGGACTCTGCAGTGCCTCCCTGAAATGTGCCGGGTGCCTGAGTCAGGCACAAACACTTCCACAGGACCTTCTTCAGCAACTCCACCCTGATCCTGCTGGAGGCTCCAAAGGCACTGTGTGTCTCTGCCTTCTGAGAGGTCTACTACCATCCCCGAGCCACAGAGGAGACCCGAGCAGTTCCTGCCGTAGGAAGCCAAGGAAGACAGGTGCGAGCACTCCTTGGTCTCTCCTGGGACGTTCAGAATAAGGACGCTGGTTCTCCACCCGGCTGGAAGAAGATACAGTCTGACAGGGAGACAGCTCCAGCTCTGGTCCCAGGCAGTGAGGGAAGAGAAAGAGCGAGTGAGAGAGTGAGCAGAGTCAGCCACACGGCTCCGACAGGCCCAGGAGATCGGTCATCAATGTGTCCGGTTGTGGGTCACTTTCTGCTCTCGGTGGAGCTGGGCTCTCAGCTGGGCAGCATGAAAAGATGTCTTGATGCTGTTGCTGATGGCCTCCAACCTGTCCACCCAAGACAAGGGAAGAGAACTGTTAGCTACAACTCACTCCTGGACTAAAGAAGCATCTAACATTAGCATCTGACACAAGAATAGGAATCTGTTCCTCTATTCCTGTGTTTACCACTGACCTCCACAGCATGCTAGCAGTGATAAAACCTCAAGAGGTATCTATTACCATTGTGAAAATAAAGCCCGCCCTCTAGGCTTTGAATGGAGGTGAGGGTCTTAAGGTCATGGCCAAGGGGAACTGAGCGCCAAGTGTGATTTTAAAATAGATGCTCTCAATTCCTCTGCAGCCCCATCCCAGTCTCAACCACTGTGGGACCCTGTACACAGACAGGCAGCACAGGTATCAACAACCCCCACCTGAGACTGACTACAAACCCAGAGAGTCTCTGGAATGACATGGGCTGGCCACCAAATGCATTTCCCTAATTTAAAATAAATAAATAAGCAAACCCAAAAGACAGCATGTTCTAAATCTCACCAACCCTGCCTAATGACTTCACTTTCCCTTTGGCCATTTGAATAACTGCTGATTTTTGAAGACCTTGATGATACAAGACACTTTGAGTTTTTCTGTTTTTTTCTTTTATGTCCTTTCCCTGACATGATTTTTAACTTGTCAAGGAAAGAAGTAAATGCACGGACTCCGAGAGGCAACATCTGACTGTGACCAAATGACAGACACATCTCTGACATGCTTTGTTTGGAAAATCCACATGTTGACTGAAGGGGCTGTGCCCCAAGCACAGGGAGCAGCAATCAAGGCTTTGTGAAAATATTCGAGAGGGAATTCTCTACTCTGTTTCATCTCGTGAATTCCAAGATCCCTTTTCTTGCTGTCTTGGAGGTTTTCTGCCCAGCTAGGTAAATGGTTCAAGGGCAGAAAGGATGCCAGCATCGGTGCCCAAAAATAAATTTTGTGCAGAGTCTCTTACCTTCTTATTTTTCTCCCTTGCATCAGCTTTTGAAGAATACACTTCTTTCCAAGCTTGGAGCAGTCTTTGCCTTTCTTAAGGTTGTTCCTGCCTTTCTCCATAGTCTCTTGGGCTCTGTGAAAACACACAGGAAAAACATCTTCAGTTTCATCCTGCCTCTCAACATCAGTTACTCTCTCTCAAGCAAGGAGGTGTCCTTATCCTAGGAAAGAGGTCGGGAGACTTAACCCTGATTGAACAGCAAAGCTGCTCCTACTCACCTGAGTTCCGTTCCTGCTTGGCAAAAATTCCAGCACTTCTTGTCGTGTGGGCTCGTGCACTGGCACCTGTTCTTGTGGTACGCTGCCCTGGTAGGAAATAAATCCTTCAAGGATCGCTTGGACCTGGACGGGCTTCCAAGTCCATACGGGACGATGTGCCTGTGATGGAGAGAAAAGAGCAAAACACGTCAGCATCATCAATAGTCTTTAAAACAGCCACATTCTTTGGGGTGAGTTCATTCCATTGGGCACACACAGAGCTACAGCACTTGGGAGCAGTAACTTAGGAGACTCAAGGGTGGCCACACGCCCTTCCAATGCCCTGAGTGTGTGTACCCAGCCGGGAGAAAACCCCAGCTGCTGATTCAATGAGGCTCCTTTTCAACTCTTAACAAAGTTCAGTTACTTCTCCAGACCAGCAGCTGGTTTTGGTCTAAAATTATGGGATCTTTGCTTTGGTGTCCCTTGTATATTGGGGGGACAGATGGCAGAAAGCATAATGCAAAACCATAACTCATAAGATTTGTAAAACCTACTGTCCTGTGAATCAGGTATGATATAATGTATGTTTCCACACATCACATGACTGCAGGAGACCCTCTGGTACTTTCTAAGGGGACTCCTTGAATTGTCCCCTGAGGAGTAAAAAGTGCCCCCACCCCCAACGCCTTGACAGTTTCACCTCACTAAGTATTAGGCTCTTTGTGGTTGGATCGGATTGGATTTGGGTTTTGGCTGTTCTTTTCCATAATGGGACATGGACGGGATAGACAAGTGAAAGGGTCCCTGCTTATAACTGGTCTTCACTCTGCAGGGGGGAGAGGAACCCACGGGCTGCATGCCTCTCTTCGCCTGGAAATGAGCTTTTCTATGGATAGAAAGGGGACAGGACCCAGGATCCAGTCCTAGCTCTGCCTCATGCCGGCACAGGTGGCCTCCGACACGAAGGTCTTTTCCTAGAAGTAAGATGAAGGGTTTGGATTCTGCTCCCCAGGCGCCCTTCTGCCTGTGTCTCTGCCCAGCTGTGAGAAGCACAGGCTGGGCTAAGGCAGCTAGGATCCGGAGACTCTTCCACCAAGCCCTGTGACAGCCTGCTCAGACAGCTCCCTTCTGGGAGGGTTCTCCTCTGCAGTTCCGCATAGCGGCTCCCTGCTTGGCCTCAGCACCTTGCACCCCGTCTCAGCCACAGAGGCCTCAGAAGACCCTGCGAATTGCAGGACACAGAAGGCCACTCTCAGAAGCCAAGCCGGGAGCTCCCCCGAGAAAAGGGTACACCCGGGACCCGCGCTTCAGCTTCCGCGGAGCCAGAGCTCAGGAATGACTGGAGCCACGACGCCCCCTAGGGACTCACCCGGGGGTGTTGACCCAGATGATGTCCAGGTGGCAGAAGTAGACGCACTCCTTGTCCATCAGCGAGGAGCAGGAGCACCGCTTGGAGCGGCGCGGCCGCCAAGGTGCGCTGGCCGGGGGCTTCTCCCCTGGGTTTTCCGCTCCTGTGCTGAGCTCCGTGCCCGAGGCCGCTGTGGAGAGAAGGCGCACATCAGTCCAGATCTGGCGGGGCAGGCACGCGCGGGGGCGGCATAGCACCTGCTGCAGCAGCAGGGGCAGCCAAGGGGCTCTTTACTTTTTTCTTTCCTTGACACCACCTCGCTCTACCCACTGCTGGCTTATCCACCTTCCCACGAATGACAGGGAAGCAGAAGAGACAAACTCCTATAAAAGGGACTTCGCCAGCCCGTCTGCAGCAGCCGTCAAGGCAATGCTGCCAGCTGGGGGCTTGGGTGGGCTTCTGCACTGGCCGCTGACTGAAAACCAGTACATCGCTGCTCTATTCCTGGTACAGGAGCCGCTCCCTCATTGCAGATGAGCCACTTCACACCTTGTGTAAGGGTCTGGGGTCGGTATCCACACCTCTGGAAATTAGGCAGGGGGCAAAGAGCCCTGGGGAAGTGATGGGGAGAGGGAGAAGAAGGGAAGCGAACACAATATCCCCTTCACTGCAGAAGCCAGCGAGCTCCTCCGAGAAGCAGCTGGTGCACCTGGAGAGAGCGCTGCGCCTCTGGAATTCAGAATCCACGGAGCCGCGGCGCCAGGCTTGTGTGGGATCTACCGCCTCCCCCTCGGGGGCGCAGCCCTGCGCATCCCACCAACCATCCAACAGCCATGCCGCTTATCTGCCCGATTCGGTACATTTCAAATGATCAGACACATTCCTGGATTTTCATCCCCTTGACACCCTTTCTCTTTTGTCAGGGTTATGAAAAGTCCCCAAAAAAGTGCGCTGACCCTAAAAAATTAGGGGTAAGGGGGCGGCGGCGGGGAGACGCACCGCGGTACTGCCTAAATCCTTAAGTAACCAAGAATGATCCCTGCTCCCAACCCAGGACAGGTGAACACAACCGAAAATAGAGCTCACACTGTTGGGAGTGCCAAAAATCTGCCAAAAGGAAATCTAAAGTCAATAATGACAAATAATAAAAAAAAAATCTGCTTCACCCCGAAACTCCCCGCGGAGGCGGGGGGAGGGAGTGCTTAATCAACAGACTTTGTTCGGCAAGTAGTATTTTACTGCTCACATATTGCTTGAATGACTTGAATAAAAGTTCTTGGCTGCAAGCTGGAATGTTGAAATATTGCACACTTTCACACAGCTGAAACAGCGCGTGTTTGTTCTAAGTACCTGCACGAACACCTATATGGCAAAATACACCCTCGACTGCGTCCTAGCTTCTCCATACCCGCTCTGCATTATTTAATTTTACAGCCAAGCCAATGCATTATGCAAGAACAACTTAAAAAATCAGAAGTCATTTTCATGCTCCGCTATACTCGGTGGAGGAATTTTCTTACTTTCCCTGGAACACTTGGGCAGCTCCGAGCAGTGCTCGTCAGGCACTTGCTATCTAAGCGTTAGTAATAAAAAGAAAACAGAAGCAAGAAATGCATTCAGTGGAGTAGAGACATTAACCTGCACAGGGGGTTGCAAGTCCGCGTGCGTGCCTACCTGTCTCGGGAGCTCCATGGAAAGCCACCAACAGCAGAGAGACCATCATGGAGAAGTAATCCATTCTGAAAAAGGTCTAAAAAAAAATCTCCGGCAAACTGAACCCAAAAGCAGACGATGAAAAACAGCCTCAGCGCTTCTCGTGGCTCGGATCCTCGGCCCGGGCTCCGGTCCCGGGGAGAAGAGGCCACCGGTGCTCGGAGCGCAGGCGGCGGGCGCGGGGCGCACGCGGCGCGGAAGGCGGCGGCGGAGCAGCGCGGGGACGCAGCGAGGAACCGGGACACTCGCCTCGGCGCAGCTGCAGAGGCGCGTCTGGCTTGGACAGCTCTCGGCCGGCTTTTTATATTGAACCCCTATAGCGTGGGGGTAAACAGCTCCAACTTTATTCCAGCCCCAGACAATGTTATTGTGTTATTAGTCACCGCCAGGCAACGTGCAGCCGGAGATAAGGCCGGGCCCGAGAGGAAATCGCTGCAACTTCAGAGGCGGACGCCCGCCGTCTGACAATTCAGGGGCGGGCTCACAGAAACAAAATACCCATTAGAGACCTTTGGTAAACCTGCCCGTGCGGCGCTGCAGTCTGCTTCCCCTTGTGCGAGCTGCCAGCCCGGGAGTCCAAGAATCAGAAGAGGGACTACAGCAGAAGTCATACCATTGGTATGAAAAGTATGAGCCACGTTTAAATAGATTGTATTGTTGTGTGCAGGGGGATTTTTTTTCTTCATTGTTGTTCACTTCATTTTCCTTTTATGTCTCGGGCAAACAAGGGGACGCTCTCCTGCTTGCCTCCCCGCCTCCCCCGCCCCGGGGGTCCAACGATCTGGGCCGAGCAAGGTGCATTTCTCTCCCTGCCAGCCCCTACCCCCAAGTCCTTTGGGGATTAAAGTTCTTGCGCGGCGACGGAGAGGAAGATCAGGGAGGGACTGGCAAAGGAGGGGCGTAATAAAAACATCAGAGCTACTCAGACACATGCCCCCTTTTTTGTTTTATTGTCCACCTATTTGAAGACCCCTCCCCCCAAACTCTCTTTTCTGCGCCCCGGACCGGATCCACAGTACCGCTCTTAGAAAAATGGGGCGACAGGGACGCCAGGGGGCGATCAAGAGCCACAGGGGCTGCAGTTGTGTTTTAGGACAAAAAAGTGAAACCCGCGGCTGCGGCCGGCGACAGGGACCGAGGGAGCGCGGGGGGGCGGGGGGGCGCGGGAAAGGAGCGCGCGCTCCAGCCCCCTCCCCACCCCCCCACTCCCACTCCCCGGCTTCCTCGCCCAGGACCTCGTTCCTGCTTCTCGGTTTCCCCTCGGCTTTCCCATGGGACCACCACCAGGGTGCCCCCACCCCAAGGGGTCCGGTGATCCGCAGGGAAGGTGGCGTTGGGCCGGGGACGGGATCGGATCCTGCCTCTCCTGTTGACATGTTCAAAGCAGCTGTCTGTCTGTCTCACCTTGACAGAGCCCTGGCGGTGCCCACGGGGCAGCCGCCGCGCAGGTAACAGCACGCCTTGCTGAAGAAGGCGAAGCGCCCACGTCGGACGCCGCCCCTTTCAAGGGGCTCCATTTTCCAGGTGAGAAAACGGAGGCACCCAACAGAAGCCAGCGCGCCACCAGGCTTCTCAGAGGGCGCCCCCAGGGAGACCTGCGTGGGTCCAGGCAGTCTTCTTCTCCAGCGCCTCCCCAGCACCCGGGGCCCCGCGGGACACACTTCCTCCGTGTCCTCATCTCGTTCCACTCCTTTTCTCCCTGGCGCGGCAGCCCGCGCGGGCCCGTTTCCAGGGGTCTCTCTACCCAGGAGGGTCCCCCGGGGCCACCGCCTCACCACCTAAAAGTCCAGGTTTCCTCCCCGCACCCAGGCCCTCCCTGGAGTCAGACGCAGGCCGCCAAGCCACAGCAGCGGGTTCAGGCTCCTAATGCGCTCTGGTGCTGCCACCCAATCCCCGGGGACCCGGACCTGGGGCGCTCGGCCTCAGCCCAGCCCACTGCCGGCTTCGACTGGACGCAGTACCTGGGGAAGGAGACACGAGGGGACCTGATGTCATGTGCACGAGACCCAGGCCTCCCTCCACTGCCCACCCTGAAGACCCACCTGGCCGGGGGGCTCCTCCCCGGAAACGGCCACCCGCCGTCCCCAGGATCCCGGGGACCCGGGTCCTGCCTAGGCTGCCCTCCTGCTGGGGCGCCCGCCTCGCCCCCACCTGGCCGAGGCCGCCCCTGCAGGTGCCAGCGGCGGCACCGGCGCCCAAGTAGAGAAGAGTGGGAGGAAACCTGCCCGCGCGCTCCCCTCTCGGGCTGTCCGTGTCATCCCTTGACTCTATTGGATTTGAAATCACAAAATGCGGGCCGCGATCCGCCACCAGCCGGGCCTCCCGCAGCTAGGTGAAATTAGGCAGGACCTCAGATTCGGGAGGGCCACCTGGCTCCCAGGAGAACGTCGCCCGCCTCGCTTGAACCCCCGAGCGCCCTAGACGCGGGCGCGAGTGCTCCTGCGTGCGTGGATTTCATGTCTCTCTGGGCGCGCGCGTTGGGGAGAGGGGCGTCAGTCTTGCTCTCGGGTTTCAGCCTCCTTCTCCTCCTCGGAGAGGAAGAAGAAACCCCGCGCAAGCCCAGGGAAGGCGGCTCCGGCCTCCCAGCCAGCAAGTTCCCCAAGAATCAAGGGACAGGGGGTAGAACCCCAGCAAACCCGTTTTACCAGTTGGGGGATCCCACTCTTCCCTGAGCTTCAGGCCTTGCTGGAGACGGAGGTAGGAGAAGGGGAGGTGAAATGAGCCGGACAGAGGACCAGGTGCTCTGGTTTGATGGCCAAGGAGGTGCCTGCACAGCCCCCAGCCCCAGCCCTCAAAGCGGCAGAGAGGTCACCCCCAGGGGAAGCGGGACTGGAAGGAGTGGAGATGGTGTCTTTCCTGCAGCAGAACGGTTCTCTGTAACTCTTTTGCTTTTATGTTACACTTGCATGCTGGAAACGGGTTGATAAAGCTGCTTTTTATGTATTTCTTCCTGTATCTCTATGTATTAATAGATATCTATAAATAAAGCAGCCTGAGTCCCAAATACAGATGCTACACAGTAGCAGAGTGTACTGCCTTTAGCACTCTTTCCTTTGCTCTCTCTCAACTTGTGCGTAAGAAAACTTGCAGCTTTGCCAAGCTGAGGGATTTGGTAAGAGATGTTGCATTTAGCTCAGTGAGGACCGTAGGCATTAGATTGCCGGGCAATAGCACAGAAAGGGGCACTTGGTTGCTGTAGGCAAGGGTAAGGCCTGGTCCCAGCCCTGCTGGTGACTGTCTTCCATCCTCCTGTATGTCACGCTCTTGTGAAAAATCGTGCAGTACTGTCGTGATGCCTGTGACACGTTGCACACCTCCAAGAGTGCTGAACAAACATAGCTTTTCCCTGGGGTTCACAAAGAAATGGTTGATTCAGGGCAGGAAATACAATGACAGTGACAGTAAAAGCATTGCCTGCGTTTCAGAAACCTAATCTATGCAACCCTATTTCCTTGACACGTACCCATAGGATGAAATCAGACAGGGAGTGTTTGGTTTAAAAGAATATATCCAGTTCTTTAACCTAGCATTCCTCAAAGCTCAGTCATTCGTAACTTTGTAACTGTTGCCACATTTTTGTGGCACCTGTACATTTTATTTAATTTATTCCTTTATTTGAATAACTTTAAGGAAATTTTATATCACTGCAATCCTAAGGGATAAGGCACATGAAATAATGGTTTGTGTGGTTAGATAATGTACATGAAATCATGGTTTAATACATGCCAAACATTTAATTATTATATATTCACTAAACTATTAAAAATAAAAAGGTGCATACATGTTCTAGCCACTTATACCAACACCAGCATGGTCACATCCACTGCACCATGCTGTGCCTTGTTGTACTAATAAACCTGATATACTTTCCCTCTCTGATCTCTACTTTCAAGACAACTTCCAAATATCCCACATTAAAACTCCTATGAATGCCCCTCGAAGAAACAGATCTTCTTGCATCCAGAATCAAAGCACACAGAAGGTTCACAACCAAAGACTTTCCCAGAGGACCTTCCCCCGTGGTTATTGCTTCCTTGTCTGACCTCGGTCTTTTATCTGACTTTCCTTCCCCTATCCAAATTTAAGAGAGAGAGAGAGACAGAGAGAGAGAGAGAGCGAGAGAGAGAGCAACTGGCTGGGGCAAAACCAAGAGTCAGACCTCAATCCAGGTCTTCCCTGTGAGTAGCAGGAGCTTAAACACTCACCTGCTGCCTCCCAGGATAGACACTAGCAGGAAGCTGGTGACAGGAGCCAGAGCAGAGCATATAGGACCCAGTCCAGGAAGGAATGGTGGACATCCCCACACATGTCCCAACCCCTAGATCAAATGCCCACCACCCTTCTTAATTTTGAGTCTATGTCATTTATGACACCTGGAACTAAAGGGACTCTGATGCAGGCAGGAGAGAAAAATAAGACCAGCTGAGAGTGAGTAGAGTGGAGTCGCCTCATCCAATCTACTTCATGGAGTCATTCAAAACAAGCCTTCTGGCTGTCTATCTGTGGTTCCAATAGAGTCACCCCTTCTGATACTCTTGAAATTTGATTCCTGTTGTGGCAGTGACTTTAAGAGGGGAGTGGGTCTCTCCCAGGAGGCCAGGCAGGTCTGGCCCTTGGGTTTTGTGTCTTCCACAGGTGCCCACTTGCTCCTCTGCTTAAAGAAGCACAAAGCCCTTGCCTGATGCAGCTACCTGATCTTGACCTTGCCAGCCTTTCAAATCATGAGCCCAAATGAACGTGTTTCTTTTAGGTACTACTCAGTCTCAGGCATTCTGTTACAGCAACAGAAAGGGGACTGTGTCCAGTTAGTAAAGCACAGGTTGCAAAATAATTTGAGAAACAGGTTGAATGAAGACGTTAAAGGCTAGAAGGGAAGAACTTCAAAAATAGAAGATTTAGGAGCTGGGCAAAGGACAGAGAATGGATAAGAAGGGCCAGAAATTTTACCAGGATGGTTTGGTTACTGTGCTTACAGTTTCAGTGAGAAGAGCTGACTACTGATGATGGAAGATTATATAGGTGGTATACATGTTCAATATTTCCAATATCTTGGGGGCCAGCATGGTGGTGTAGCCAGTAAAGCCACCACCCACATTGCCAGCATCCCATATGAACATCAGTTAGAGTCCTGGCTGCTCCACTTCTAATCCAGCTCCCTGCTAACATGCCTGGGGAAAGCAGTGGAAGATGGCTCAAGTGCGTGGGCCCCTGCCACCCATGTGGGAGACCCAAATGAAGCTCTTGGCTCCGGTGTGCCTATCTGGGGAGTGAACCTACAGATGGAAGATATCTCTCTCTCTCTCTCTCTGTCCCTCCTCTCTCTGTGACTCTGATTTTCAACTAAATAAATAAATCTTTAAACATATATATAATATATTATACATAAACATATATATATATTTCCAGCATTTCTAGGTAATGTACTAGTAGAATGTACAAAGGCTACATAGTTTTCACTCTGTGAGTCTTGTGTGTTTAGGGTGAGTGTGGAGGGACCAAAGCAAAAGAGGAAGGTAACTCAGCCATGGCTCTATGAGAAACCACTGTGTGGACTATGTCGCCATTAAAAGGTCTGGATTTTATTTGCGTTAGAAAATTGTAAATGAGCTCAAATCATTACCACATTTCGTAAAACTCCTTTCTGGACTCAGCTATTTGCAGGGAGAAAAAGATCATTAGAGAGTTTTAGAAAAGTTCTCTAGTTTTCAACATTGCTTCTCATCTCTTTCTTCTTTGAGAAGACATTTGATAAAAGGGTTATTTTATTCTCCCTACCTGAAGTCCACCTACAAGGAACTCAAGTTTCCCTCCCTAAACTGTAGTCAAAGTAAATACGAAGTAAATTTCTCTTCAAATAATCGTTTTAATCCCAAATAAGAGTATGCTGGGGCAAAGAAAAGAATATTTATTACTGGTTGTCATCACAGGGAAAAACATTGGGGAAAAAAAATGGGTTACTTTTTTAAAGGCGCATTTGGATCCATTTAAAAATGCAAATTTAATTCCACAAGCTCCAAAATAAGTTTAACACAAAGGGTTTTGTTTGATTTGGCATTCGCGCTTTTTTTCCATTTGTTCTTTTGATGAAAAAGAAAAAAAAAGAAACTTGGGGTGGTTATGAGAATAAATTTCCTGGCAATTGATGTCTTTAATATTTATTTTGCTGTGAAGTTTAGAAATCCTTGCATCCTTGGTGTTAATGCTACTTAACACTCACTGACCCCCGGTATTTGCCTAAGTGCCATTCTCACTTGGGGTAGGCACATTTTTGTCCTCCTTCTGACTCAACAAGAGGCAACAATGAAGAGTAGTGATATTGTGTATGTTGCAACCCTACATGTTGATTTATTTTGGGAGAATTGTGGGGAAAAAAAAAATGGAATAGCATGAGAGAATAAAATGGGCGCCTGGGACAGGCCACTGCAGACCATCAAGAAAGCGGTACTGAAGACTGACTTTCAGAGAAGGAACAAGAGGTGGTGGAGGAGAAGGAGCTGAGAAAAAGGATCAGGCCAGGGGCCCTGGCCTGGCCCTCCGCCCTCCCTCTTTCCTGGGCTGCTTGGAGAATTCGGAAGCAGGAAACGTGAGTTAGAGAACTCTGAAACTGAAAATGTTCCCCCAAAGCCCAGAATCTTGCTACAAAATGGAAAAGGGCTGGTCAACTGCAAAATAGCTTGTTTAAACTTCTTTTTTCCAAAGTTGTTTCAAGATTAGTCAGGGAGGGCTGACATTTTCTAGATAAAGCATTTTTACAGTCTTGTTTCTTTCTGACTGTTCTTTCTCCCCCAACGTCCATTCTATTTTTGTCCATTATCTGGAAGAAGCTATCTTTCGGGACTACTGACCAGGTCTCCGCACCAGCGGCTGCATTGCTGTATTGCTCCCAATTCTCTCCCAAACTCCTCCTTGTTTCAAGGGACACTTTGTCACTTTATGATGAGCTGGACAAAAGAAAGTAGGGCAAAGAGCACAGGATCCCAACACACAGAGAAATTTCTAGCCAAACTCTAACTTTTCTTCTCTGACTGGTTGGTCTTTTCTCCTATATTATGTGCAGATCTAGATAGGAACTTTTTCCTCAACCTCCCAAAGGTGGACAGAAAACACCTAGGATATTCTAATTATGCTTTTTATCTCCTTTCAATCAAATCTACACTCACTTTATTCCTTTAAATGAAATACAATATGATATTGCTTCAATAAGTAATAAATTCTTAATGATTTTCCAAGAGCAGACTCTGAATTCATGGGGAAACCACCTTTGGAGAATCTACCCTTCAATCACTTAGAAACAGGAGCAAATTAGCATATGAGTTGAATATGTTCATTAAGGACTTAACTTGCTTAAGGTCTTAACTAAGGAAAGTGACCAATGTATAATTTAACTTGAATACCAAATTGGGTGAACACTCAATTCTTAGGAAAGTAAAACTCTTAATCATGATATGATGTGATCCAAACATAAATGAGCAACTCAGAAGGAACTAACATCTATTCATCATATGGCTTGGAAATCAATCCTCATGCAGACAACGTAATGAACCTGCCATCTGCCCTTTTTCCATTACAAAATCTATTTTCAAATCTCTGCAGAAGTGTTCAGTTGAAGCTGCGCACTCCACCAAAGGCTGGAGAGCGAGCAATGGGAGAAGTTTAGCGAGATAAACTGAGGTCTAAATGCATGTCTTTGAGAGTCAAAGATACAGAAAAAAGACCCAGGCATGGTCAAATGCGGAATGGAGAGAGAAGTATAACGAAGGTCGGAGAAAGAACAGTTTTATACAAGTTCTAATTACTGGGTGTTGACTGGAGGGAAACACCCATTGTCGAAATCAAAACCATGCCAGAGGTGGGTAACTTGAAGAGTCAGAAACATAGAAACACAGCAGACACTGCACAGAGATGGCTGACAGAGGAAGGGTTAGCCCATCCGAAGGCAGATGTGGTTCTGAAGCTAAGCACTGAAGATCTTCCTGATTCTAGCTGAAAATGCTATGAAATAAATCAGCAGTGGGGAACACACACTTTGCAAGAAGATAATTATCAGAGGGTAAAAGTCCCTTCCATTTGAACTATGGTAAGTGTGTTATAGAAATTTCCACTTGGGCTGTGGAGATGTCAAAACAGTCACATACAAAGCCAAGAAAGTACTAGAACATCTTAAGAGGGGCTGGCGTTGTAGCACAGCGGGTTAAGCCACTGCTTGCCCAGCATGGCTGCTCTGCTTTTAAGCTGGCTTCCTGTTAAGTTGCCTGAGAAGACAGCAGAGGATGGCCCAAGTACATGGGCCACTGACACACATGTGGGACATCGGATGGAATTCTGACTCTGAGCTTTGGCCTGGCCCAGCCCTGGGTATTGCAGCTGTCTGAGGAGTGAACCAGTGAATGCAAGATCTCTGTCTCTCTCATTTCTGTCTGTCACCTGCCTTTCAAATGAATGGAAAAAATGAGTCTTAAAAAAAAAAAAAAAAGAACACCTTAAGGATGAAGGTAGAAAAGGAAGAATTTTGAGTTTCTGCTTATGACAAAGTGTAAAGGAAAAATAATCAAACATGTTAAACCAGAGTGTAAGGA